CTGACTTCTCTGAGGCAGCAGCATGAGAACAGAAGGCTACAGGATGCAGAAAGGTAGGGCTACAGGGTGACGATGGGCGTCTAGACAAATGAAGCTGAGAGCAAGGGCCTGGGGTGGAGGCAGAGCATGGTACCTGGGCCAAAGTGAGTGGGGAAGCACCCCAAGGTACCCCCAGGCGAGAGTGCAGGGGTCAAAAAGCAAAGAAGTGGTGAGATGTATAGGGAGGAAGGCTGCAAGCTGGGGCTGGGTCACTAGTTTATCACATGTTATAGATTCCTGCATGATTCTACATAATCAGACTTCAACTAGAGTGCTGACTGTGGTCTCCCTAGAAAATGGCGAGATTCAGACACAGGCCTGAGTAATCAACTTCTGAAAAAGCAAAGGTTTATTTGGGCTCATAGTTTCCAAAGTTTCCATCTGTGGCCACCTGGCCCTCTTTGGACCCTGTGGCAGAACATCAGGTGGGAACACATGGTAGTGGCGGTCTCTTCACCTCATGGTGGCCAGGAAGCAGAGAGAGGAGGAAGTCAGGGTCCCAATGCCCCTCAAGGGCACAGTTCCAGGGGATTAGTTACGTTTCTGTGGCTGTGATAAAATATCATGACCAAGGCAACTTATAGAAGGAAGTTTATTTGAGGGCTTGTCATTCTAGAGAGAAAGTCCTTCATGGCAGGGAAGGTACAGCAGCAGGAGGCAGCCAGAACAGGAAACAGAGCTCGTATCTCCAAGCACTCACAGGAAGCAAAGAGAGTAAACTGAAGCGGGGCAAGGCTCTGAACTCTCAAAGCCCACCCAGTGATGTGCTTCCTCCAGCAAGACCATACCTTCTAAAGGTTCCATGACCTCCCCAAACAGCACCACCAACTGGAACCCAAGTATTCGAATTCTTGAAGCCAATAGGGAATATTTCTCATTCAGTCCACCCCACTCAGTGACCTAACTTCCTCCCTAAATTAGACTCCACTTCTTAAAGATTCTGCCACCTCCCAACAGTGCCAAGCCCTTAACAGATAGACATCAGGAGATACTTAAGATCCAAACTGTAACACAGGGTGCTAATGGAATGAATGATTGAATGAATGAATGTTCCAGTTAATTATTATTGAGGGAAGAGGTCAAGAGTGATACAATATGAGGTATGGCGGATTTTCTCTGATTTGACTTGAAGATCACATTTTGACAAACCCATTGGCAGGGTGTCAGAAATCAAGTATGCTGAGTGTGGTGGCTTTTGGACCCCTCCCTACCCCGCAGCCTCTCTGTTGCTATGGTTGTTGTCCAGATATCCCTGGAAACCTGGTAGAGACACCCCAGAGAAGACATAATAAACTGTCAGCTGCCAGAGATTAGCACTGCACTGGGCCAGCTGACTGAGTCTGCTGTCACTCTGAGTCTCCCAGCTCTTTCTGCCCTGCCCTTGGAGAATGTGACAATCCAAGCCACTGAGAGCATCCTCTGCGAGGCATGGGGTGGGAGGGCTGAAAGAAGGCTAGAAGGAGTGTTGAATAGCAAGTGACTTGAGTCACTGGGATGTCCCTGAGCCCACTAAGAGGTGGTGGTGATGCACATGGGACACAGTGAAAGGCTTTAGCCTCATTTCTGGACACCAAGCTTTTTTTTTTTTTGCCTCTGAGATAATTTCTAGTCATATTTTTACCATTAGTCACTTGGAAGAGTTAGTGATAGGAAATTTGATTAATAACAATGAAGAAAGTGTTGTAGGGACATAAAGTAGTAGAAAGAAATTCCTATTTAATGTGACATGTCTATGCAGCTGCAAGTCATTGTGGATTCCTTCTTGTTCAAGGCAAATGACCGTACAAGGCACAGTACCAAAAAAGGCCACCACGGGGAGCTAGAAAGATGGCTCAGTGGTTAAGCCCTGGCTGCTCTTGCAGAGGACCCGGGTTCAGTTCCCAGCGCCCACATGGCAGCTAACAGATGTCTCTGACTCCAGTTCCAGGGGATCTGACACCCTCTTCTGGCCTCTTCAGGCATTGCATGACAAGGGTGCACTTAACATACATGGCAGGCAATACAGTCATACACATAAAATTAAAAAATAAAATACTATTTAAAGGTTATCAGGATCTGCCAGGAAAATGGAATCGTACTTTCAGTAAGGTTGGAAACATGAAAGTTGAGAAGGACCAAGGAAACAGGAGCAGTAACTTCAGGAAGTGACACAAAGGCAGAGAGACAGATGAGGTTCTCAGAACCTAGAGGCTTGGAGGAGGAAGTGGGAACAGGGCTCAGACTTCGATAGAGGTCTGAGGGGCAAGTGAGCTGCATGTGGGAGCAACTACCAATGCCTTGTGAAAGTACCAGGGCCAGCAGGAGGCAGAGCAGTGGGGAAGAGGTGCCCCTCTGCCCCTGCCATCTTCACATTCCCACTGTCAGGACCCTTTAGGGAGCAGGCAGCCAAGAGGACTGAAGTTCACAGAGTCCCTGTGAACAGAGGGTGTGTTTGAAGATGAGAGAGAAGATCTGAGGGAACTTCCAGCACAAGAAAGTCTCAGACCTTCAGTTCAAAGAAGGTCGAGACCACCAGCATACTAGAAGCTTCTGGAAGGTCAAGCCTTGACACTGTTGGGGTGGCCCTAGCAGTAGCTTTGCTTTTCATCCAGGTGAAATCTCAGCAGCATCATGGTGTAGACAGCAGGGGAGTTCAGCCACGTCTGCTGACCTGGAGGAACTTCTGGAGGAAGTCCAGGGGGCTAAGCTGCGAAGGTGGGCCGCACTGAGAGCACGTGCGTGTGCATTCCAGGCTCTCTCCAGTGGCCCTGGAGTGCAGTGCCCGGGCATCCTGAATGATGGCACCCTGGGAAGTGACCTGAGAGTGCAGCAGCTGTGTGCTGTGGTCAGACTCCATTATGGTAGCTTTGGAGCCTACCATGTTTGTCTGTTTTATCATAGCCAAGGGACCCTCTGGTGTCACTTGTGTTTAGATATATGCTTTGACTTACAGCAGCTCCCGGCACTCTGCTTCCCTTCTGAACATACATAAGTTTGCTGGAGAAAGCACAGAGCCTAGATTCTTAGCCACAGAAGGGCAACTCGGATGACTGAGCTGATGATTTAGCTGTCTTTGAATCTTGGGTCAGAAAGCCTCCTCTGAATTTTCATGTTTGTTTTTTGCACAGGGTCTCTCTATGTAGCTCTAGCTGGGTCTGGAACATACTATGTAGTCCAGGTGACCTCAATCTCACAGCAATCCACCTGCCTCTGCCTCCCAAGCACTGGGATTAAAGGTGTGGGCCACCACACGTGCTGCTCTGATCATTTTTAAGGACAAAGTTTCTCTCTACAGCCTTCAGGCTTATGTACCTCAGGAACCCTCCTTTGGATCTTATCCCCTGGTGCCTTCCCAGAAGCCCCTGGAGGGACAGCAGAGCTCATCAGAATTCCGCATCCGGCTTCTGAGCATCGTCCCTTTGGATCAAGGGATGCAAAGCTTTTTTGGAAACAGGAGTTATACTCACATCTTAATATTTTCTCATTACAACAACCTTCCAAGAATATAGTTGCTGCTTTTCAACAAGTGAATTTTTAAGCTTTTTAACCTGTTAAGAAAGAGCTCTTACATTTTGTCTTGTGGGCTTGCTTTGTAGTTGTTTGTTTGGAGGGTTTTGTTGTTGTGATTGTTCTTAGTCTTATATTAGTGTAAACACAGAAATTAACAGAAAATATCTAAACATGCACTCTGAAAGCCCTGTGAGGCTCTTCGTGTTCACGGAGGGTTAAATATCTTTGGTTTATGGCAGTGATATATGAGGCTGTTGAAAAGAAAGCAGCCATGAAATACATTTTTGCATAAAGCTCTGAAATTTATTAGAAGGTAAAAATAATTGAAAAGGCTGAGCCTTCCTTGTTGTGTTATAATAAAAAGTTATTTATGTGCCACCATCAGACATGTTTAGGAGCCTGGGTCCTTTCCAGAGGCCGTTCTCAGAAAAACAAGAAGAAAGCTGAGCTATTAAAGCTATTTGGTTGAAAGAGCTGACATATGTACATAGCAGTTCTGAGGACCGTAGCCATATTAAAACAATTGGTAATAACAGTTAAACTGCTAGTGTCTAGATTTTGCTAGCCGTGGAAACTCAAAGGCATGTTCTGTGGCTGTTGCTTAGAAAACAGGCACTCTGCCTTTAAAATGGAATGGTGGACTCACAATGTGGTATTCATCTGCTTGGGTTCCATTACGGCACTGATTTTACAGTTCACCTGTCACACACAAAATTGCATGAGCCTTGCTTGATGAGTGTAAAGCATTTGGGGTCCTTGGCCAGAAGAAGAACGTGCAGAATTGGGGGAAGAGCATGTGCATAGCACAGCTGAGGTGCTGGGTTCGATCCCCTCACGTCATTTGGCTAAAGCATCTTGCACTGTGACAGGCAATGTGTATTTTCAAATACACATTATCTCTGTCTACCTTTTCAACTCCCAGAGGTAAGCGCTGGGACTTTGAAATGGTGCCAAACTGACCTGCCTGAAGAGCAGCAGACTTGGGCCAGGCATTGTGGCGTACTCCTTTGATCCCAGCACTCAGGAGGCAGAGGCAGATGGGTCTCTGTAAGAGTGAGGCCAGCCTGGTCTATGTAGTGAGTTCTAGGCCCCCTGGGGCTGCAAGGAAACCCTGCAACAAAAAAAAGGCGGCAGACTTACACCACTGAGCAAGAAAAGATCCGTTTTTAACCTCTACTTACTAGTCTTTTCTGGCTTCTTAAAGCAACCTCATTTCAAATCTTCCTTTTCTCTTGACAAAGGAGCTGCCAATTTTCAGTGAGTTACTGGAGCCCTGGAGCAATGGGCACCTTTCTAGTTAGAACGTTATGTGTAGAATGAAAGGGAGATTTGTTGACTTGAGATCTTTCTGTTTCAGTTCTAGGAAGACATCAGGGAAATGTAGTTATAACCTGTTGGTTTTCATGGAGACTATCTTAATTTGATAACAGCTTGAATTTACCGCTAGGTTTTCTGTCTTCTTTGTTTGACAGGAATCCCAATGCTGAAGATAGTGTTTGCAGGCCATGAGCATCTCTCATTAATATCTGTGCCCTTGCTCATCTACCACCCAGCTCAGATCCTGCTGGGAAGTGTGTTAGTGCCAACAATAAAATCTTGGATGGTGTCAAGGCAAAAGGTAAGACTAGAAAGATCTGATTTGAATCCAGAATAGATTGAAATGATCTTCTCAGATCTGAATGATTCGTACATTTAAGTTTTTCTAGCATATCATTGTTCTCAAATATGTATTTTATTAATGAAATATGGGGAGATGGCTGAGTGGGTAAAGTCCTTGCTGCACAAGGAGGCAGACCCAAGTTCAGAATCCCATCACCCATGTAAAAAGTTGGGCACGGTGGCACACACCGTCACCCTAATGCTGGGAGATGGAGACAGAAAGATCCTGGGGACTCACTGGCCAGCCAATCTAGACAACCAAGAAACTCCAGGTCAACAAATGAAAGACCCTGTGCATGCACGTGTGTGCACACACACATGCATGATAACAATGGTTCCTTGGTCCATTCAATTTGAACAAGATGAATGAGTGTTAAATGTCTCAAATTGTTATTAAAACAATATGTAACTTTCAAATACTCTTTTTAACTCATTCATGCTGGGGAGCGTATTGATGGGGAGTTGGAAATGTAGACCGCTCCCTTCTTGTGCTCATCCTATGTCAGTCCATCTTTCATCTGTACCTTTTCTAAATATGGTAGAACCTGGACTTATCTGGAATACCAATTTTACTTTAAATTTTCCAGATACCTGATAACTACTTTGCATGGGCAAAGTGTGTTTGAGAATTAAAACATAAAAGTTAACTATCAAAAGGACCTACACAATATTAATTTCAACACAGCTAACACAGAATATTGTTACCTATTAAGTCTTTTGGATTTAATTTCCTCAATTATTAACCAAAGTAAGCAAACCAGTGATTCAAAGAAATTTAGATGATGTACAGAATGTGGTATCATGATGGAACTCACTCCTTCCCAGAGGCTTGGACCTGCGAGGAGTAATTTTTGTCAGTATTGTATTGAATGGGCTAAACGTCTCAAGTGGCATCATTGTTAGAAGGCTCCCTATAAACTCTCAGGACCCCACCTGAGTTTGGCCCATCCAGTACAGTCTAACTAGTTCAGTTATTTAACAAACTCATGCTGATGCCTTTTCTTTTTTTAAAATTATTTATTTAATAACCACGTGATTAGAAGAAGCATTTCATCACAGCATTGGCATATTCAATAATAATTTCCAGAGCAAAGATGCATTTCTTTCAAAATTGGCTGTAAATTTTTAGGGTCATTTTCAATGCTACTAACACTTAGATGTTTACACGTGTGTCTCTAATCTCTGTGCATCTGATTATTACTAGTCACAGTCAATTACTTTCTGAGCTCCTTGGCATCTGAGCATAGATATAAAGTCATCAGGTAGATTTCAATGGTAATGTTTTTCACCTCTACTAATTAACATAAAGCAAATTTTTATGCTTCTTCCTCAAATATAACTCATTTTTTAATTTGTTGATTTTTGTGTGTGTATTTCATACAGAACATCCCAAACAATCTTATTCATCTATTTACCCACATCCCAAATGGCACCCTCCCATATCCCCCACAATGGAGCCCATATACTCTGTAATCTCTGTTACTGTCCACTGTGTTGTCAGCACCCCCAGCTGTTCCCCAGTGCTTGTCCATCCGCTGAATCTAGTCAGCCTATCTAGAGATCCTTGTTTTAGGAAGATCAACTCTTCCTCATCTAGCAGCAATCAGTTGTCAATATTCCTTTAATAAGATTGGGGTCTGCTGTTCATTTTCCCAGTTCTATGCTAGGTTACTGTCTGGGAGTCTCTTGGGCCACCCTGGCCAACATTTCAAAGGAAGCTATCTCCTGTCTGGCATTGTTTCTTCTTAGGTAGCCTTTATCTATACACATGAACTCTTAAAGAATTATATTGACCCCTTTAATCTTTGGTTAGACTTTCCTTTTGGGTATTTAAGACCATACAGTTGGCCCAGATAAACCAATTTATTTTTACTCTTAAGGTTGTTTGAGGATCTGTTCCTCAGGGGTCACATAGGCTTGGGAGGAGCCCCTGGCTCCTTTCTTTTACCAGTTCCATCTATGTGAAGATAAGTCAAAAGTCCTGCTCCACTGTAAAGCATGAAGGAAATGTTTCCTCTGAGTTGACCCTCCTCTTTGTAGACTG